GATCGTTTTACAATTTACTGTATCAGTATAAGTTCTACATAGTGACTCTTTTGCATTAAGTGTAACCTGTTTTGTTTTTGCCAACAAACATTTTCATGACTGTTTCCGGGTAAGTTCTAAAGCCGAATTAAGTCGGTAATTTCTGCATCTTAAAATTTTACCGATGTTTTTACTGGCAGTAAATCAGATAAGACTTGGTCTACTGCCTTGAGTATTAAAGTTTTAGAGTAACTGAAAGACGATTCAGTTGTTGAGAGTGGTAAAGCGTTGAAAACAAAACAAATGGAAAAAAAGAGAACTGGGTCCGCCTCTCGAGAAGGCAGCTCCGGCAGATCGTCTTAGACCAAGCAGCATACCGAGAATCAGACGGTATACCTCAGCTAGTCTCCCAGGTTTCGCTCTTTGTACTTGTTGCTTCTTCAGTCCAGTCCGCCTCTTAGAACTTCCTACGACGAAGCTTTAGTTATTTATCAACAACGTTTTACCATCGTTCGAGAACTGCATCTGCGGTAAGACGTCTTGTTTTTCAAACTGATGTCCAATAAAAAGCTTCATTTCAGCTTCTTGTCGTTGGTTTTGAAACTCAATTAATTCTCAGAAAAAACGTTTTTGTTTTCAAATTTTTGTAAAAAAATTTTTTTTTCTGAATATCATATTTTTACCACTGTTAAAATCTTAACTTGAATTTCTACATTTTTAGAGAGTGGCAATTTTGTTGCTTAAAAGGAGGGCTGAACACCTAAGTGCTGTTAGGACGCTTTCACTTTTATTAGTTTAATTCTATCATTTTAGTTTTACTACAAACTTTGGGATACTTTGAAAATAGAGCTGTTAGGCTATTACAGTATCGGTCCCAGTGATCAATTTTGCTATTCGCTTCACAGACTTCTTCACTTTTAAAATCTTCTCTTATTCAAACTACTAAAAATCACTAAATTTGAGTTGCAGTTAAAAATAAAAAGTAATAATTTCTGAATTCTTACTCGCAAAGACCATTAGATAATATAATACAACAGAACAATTTCTCAAAAAATAATCAGTTTGCATTATCCATGTGTTTATTGACTGTTGCTGAAAAAGTGGATATTTTACATGTTTTTCAATTTGTTTTTTTTATGGGTCAATACTCCTACACCAGACATAAATCCTCCTACTTGTACAAATCACCTTCTTAGAAGTTTGTACAATGAATCATTTCCAATCTGTGAGGTAACATGTCCTATAAAGCTAAGAAAAATAAACCTAAACAGTGTTTCATAGACTTTTAAACTTGCTAAGTATTGAAACACATCTTTAAAAAGGCTGCAATGATAAGTCAAAAAAGCAAAAACTTTGGTCTTCAAGAAAAGTGGATAATATCAGGCAGATTCAGGCGTCTAGTTGATGAGTCAGAGGCATTTTTTTCTTGTTTTGAAGTGCTTATCGGGGTCCGAATTTAAAATTTTCATTGCTTATGATCCAAAAGAGCTAAAAAATTTGTTTTTTTTTTTAATTCAACACTTCTATTTTCGCGGGTCCTTTCTTCTTCTTCTCCATCTTCAGCTTCTTCTCGTTGCTGAAGAGTTGATGTTAAGATTGAATTAACAATTATGCACTTCGTTACTCATTTTGATCTGGTCAAAGTATGTTTTACCCTAACACTCATTCTTAGGCATATAAAATACATTAGAGCGACAGTTACCTGGTACCAGAACTGTCTTTTCAATCTCATATTTCGCACTCATTTTACCACTCATTCGTTGTCGACAGTTCCGTCATCTATATTGCGCTCGATATAGTTCTTCAAAAAAAAAAATTTTTTTTGCTTAATTTTTTTTTATGCTTTTGCTTTTAACTAAATGACAGAGAGAAAAAAGGAACAACTTCCGCACTTTTCAAAAAAAATTAAATAAATAAAAGCTAACCTTCAAAATTTTCTTTGTTTAAATATTGAAAAAAAGAGATTCTTTTCTTTCTTTTTTTTTTGCTTTTTTGCTTTAATGCTTCTTTTTTTTTTGCTTTTTCTCTTTTTATTTTGCAGTTTTTTTCTGTTCATTGTCAAAAATATATGTGTGCGTACATTGAATATGTTCATTTGTCACAATCATTTTAAGATGTTAACTCGGAGCAGTATAGCAGGGATCAACATCAACACTAAGCTTTGTAGCCGTAGTTTAGATTATGACAGTGATTAACGATTCTGTCAAATTCACTTTAGCCGGCTTTGTTCATTTAATATAATACTGTTGTCCAACAACTTGTTAGATTAAGTAATCAGAAAACAAAAAATTGTTGTTTTTATTAATTCTTCTTTTTTTTTCTTTGCTTTATAACTCTGTAATACTTTGTTGTTTAAGTGATAGTTTAGCATGCATTATTAGCAACTCACAATATTAGTTGTATAGGATATGCCATATTTATTTGTTTGATAATCAACATAATGTTTTGTGGGTTACTTCAAGAGGAAATAAAATATTGACATAGAATTGATGAAACTTTATATATATACCCTTAGCTTATTCCCTTAGCTTCTTGCGGCTTGTAGTAGCCAAATTTCTTCCGACATTGCCGTCACTCTCACATCATTGTTTAACCAAGCTCTCATTTTTCGATCTTGTTAAAACACCTTTGTAATAATGGGGGTTTTCACAAAACTTAGAATCCCAACCGTTGTTTTCTCACAAAAGCTTCACTTTTCGAATTCAACAAAAATGCTATTCAGAAAACGGATCGTTCAATCATCATCTTTTGGGCAACGATTCGCGTTCTTTTTCTTTTTAATTATCCGAATCGTTATTTAACCAGTAAAATTCTCAACTTTTTACAGGCACTGCAAACAACCTATTCAACTGTTCAGTTATTTTCGATACTATGCTGTGATAGCATTTTGGTTTTAGACTATACTGGTATTAAAAAATTTTGAATTTACTCTTTTTTTGTCGGTTTTTTTTTTTTGATATTCTTTTGCCACTTATATTGGTACTTGTGTCGATGATTGCGTAATTGGCTGAAATTAAACAGCAAAATAAACTGTGCAGAATTTCAGAGGATTTTGGAGACTATATATCGATAATGATATTTGGGGTTTTTCGTACCCTACTCTGTTTAGTAATTTTTGCTTCCTATAGTCTCTGTTTCTCGAATTCAAATGTCAACGGTGTAGTTACAGCAGTTAAAAATTTGTTCTTTGGACCAGAGGTAAAGATTTTTTCTTATTGCTTGATGTTTACTGAATTGTTGTCTCTTATATTTTTAGATTATAAAATTATAATTTTTTTTTTGTGT